TCTTTACTATCCCTTGTATTGAAATACAAGAGCTAAGGATCATCAAATGAAGTCAGAAGGAGGCTGTTTAAAAAAAAAAAAACAAAAGGTGGATCTTCATACAACAGGTAGCAAACATGGAACTCTGGGAAGTGGTTGAACATATTCAAGGGAAGATGAGAACTACTTGGGAAAGAAATCCATTGAGAGTTATTAAACAGCAAAACCACTCAGGCTCAGGAAATCACCTGAACTGAAAATAGTTGGAGGATAAATATCATATATGCTTCCCTTGCTTTACTCTTTCCTACATGTCCCCTTACAAGAACTGTTGCAGACAGGATAAGGTACAAGACTGAGCCTTGATCCAAACCATTGCAGTTGTAGAGCGCTAAATCGAAATCCAATTTAATTCTACGTATTTGTTTCTATATAATATCAATGCAAAATCACTAAATGGTTCCTGTTGTGCTTTCACAAGTGAATGGTTTGGCCATGTATTATTACAGTTCCTTTTATGCAGAGTTCTGAAATTTGGCTTATGAGCTCAACGCAGATATTAATGATTTCGGTAGATATGCGAAGGTAAAAAGACAAGGTGCCTTTTGCAGAGGATGGGAGAGGGTGTCCTGGGTTTTTAAGTGCAGGAACATTCTGAAAGACAGATAGAATCATTTTTTTAAATCAATCATTTCTAAAGCTAATTAAAAACCTTGCTGTTCTAAGCAGATAGGAGGATTTGTGTATAAGCTGAAAATGCATTTAAACTGATGTAATATAAGATTCTGACTTCTGCTGTGCAGAATGAAGTACCTTCAGATGGTGCAAACATCCGACTTCATTGATTCTGCCTTCCCTGCAAACACAACATTCTCAATGTCGACATGAGCACGCTTTTTGGCGTGACAGAAAGAGATGAACACACTGGTGCACTGAAGCCCCTGTACTTACACAACATGTGGTTCAATGGTTTTACTTTGGACTAAGTGTTGCCTAGGCTCCACAACAGAACGCACCCATGTATAGGGTCTGAAGCTGTCCAAATGACCACCTCTTGTTTGGATCCTTGTTCCTCCATTTGGATGCAGAGTGTGCTTGGCATGCAGCTGGAGCTCACTTTCAGGTTTCCTTTCCTCTAAAAGGAATCTAGATCTGAAACAATGGGCCACAAGGCATGACTGCAGACTGAAAGAAAGGAAAGTGTTAATAGTGTCTCAGCTTGTTCCCTTGAGCTTTTATTATGGGCAGAAGTTCTGCAAGAGAAAGGAGAAGAGGTTTGTGCCCATCAGCTGAGTGTAAGAGGTCAAATCACCAGCTGACAGGCACTAACACTAAGAGAGGAGTTAATGGGGTTTTAATAAGCGAGCTGGGCCAATAATCACACATCTACCTGGCTTCTGAACTGCCTCTGTGATAGGAATGTAATTTAAACCATCTCATTCTGAAAGAGATGAAAATTTGTATGTTCTCATTGAGGATAATACTAGTTGTCAAATTTGTAATGAATTAAAAGTAACAAGATTTCACAGATTAAGAATATTTGCATTTTTCCCATTCAAATGCACAATTATCTATCATCTGTGCTGAAAAAATCAACTGGCCATTGAACTTAAAACCCCTTTTGTTAGAAACAGAATCAGAGACCTGTCTTCATTAGTATTAGCGAAGTGCTTTAAGGCTTATCAGAAAAGGATGGTACCAACAGAAGTACTTAGTAAGATGAGAGATGACTAACACATCAATCTTCTTAAACTCAGATCAGTGCACAGTGATTATATTCTTTTCTAAATGCAGGGGCACAGATGTTTTGCTTGTATAGATTATACTTAGGGATCTGAGTATTGCACTCATACAAAACTCTCTGAATTCAACTGTTCCATGTACATAATCCTGCAAAATAGCTGCTAAGATTAAAAGAATGAATTACAAAGAAATGTCCACTGAAATAAGAAGGATGTTTATCATATAAACACTCTAATAGCTAACCTGACTTTTCCCGAGTAGAACATTTCTACTACAGGAATTTAACCCATGGACACACATAATTAGCTCTTTCACCTTAAAGTTGCTGAAATAATTATTTGCTTAAGAAGATTAGTCCTTTTAGCGTTCAATAGAAATACTGACAAATGAGCCTAAAATGATTATAGAGGAGCTCTTTTAACACCATCTTCTGATCTTCTATTTTAAAATAGCATGCCCTTCAGTCAAAAACCTTTTAATTTGACCTTTTGTATTTTTCCAAATCAAGGCTCAACTTTTAATACTTTATGTATTTTAATCTTGTATGTGATGAGATGGTTTTCAAGGCTGTTTTGAGCCACATCGAAGATGACCACAATAGTCTCTCTAAATGGAACTTCAGTGCTAATTTATTTCTTCTGGTCATTGTAACTGCATGCATCTTCCTGTCTGCACTGGAGCACTTTACCATGTCAGTGGTGACAGGACAACTCTTTTTGAACTGTGCTGTACCAAAAACGACGTGAGTTAAAAATAATTTTCCAGAAGAGGGTATTTTTAAGGGCAGGTGAAAGACAGAAGAGGTGATACTGAAAAGCAAAGACAGGAACAAAGCTGTCTCAGATGGGTCGTGGCAGGGAAATGGATTTTTCAATCAGTTTGGCTGTATACCATAAACTTGAGGTGTAGAGTAAGCACTGTAATAGAGCGAGCATCGTAAGTTGCCTACAGTGGCTCTGTAGCTATTGTTTGCATGACAGTCTGTTTTCCCATATAAAAGCTAAGGGTCAAATTTTGAATTACTTATACAGACTTACAGCATAATCCTCTTATTTAAGGCAGTGAATTATCTGGATCCTTCATTGCTACACAGTTTTATACAAGCATTGAAATCACATGAATTACATTTCTATATTTCTATTTTTCCTATTCCTATAATTCTAGGTCTATTTATCAGCCTTGGGAGATTTATCTTACTCAGCTGTTAGCAACAACTGAAAGACTGATGCCATAAACAGAATTCAATTTATATTATTCTCTCTCAGTAAAAACGAGCAGTTTTCTATTTTAGTTTTAAGTCATACTGCCATCTACAGATTGAATAAACACTTGCAATACTCTGTTTAGGATAACGGTAATCCAAGTTGGAAGAGGTCTCTGGTCTCTAGTCCAACTGCCTCCACAAAACAGGGTTGCCTCTGAGCTCAGACCAGGTTGCCCAGAGCTTTATCCCACTGGGTCTTGGAAACCTCCTCAGATGGAGACTGCACAGCCTCTGGGCAGCCTGTTCCATTGCCTGACTGTCCTCACAGGAGAAAAGTATTTCCTTTTAACCAGTCTGAATCTCTCATTTCAATTTATGCTTATTGTCTCTTGTTCTCCTGCCATTCACCACTATGAAGGGCCTGGCTCCATCTTCTTGCTAACCTCCTCATAGGTACTGAGAAGCTGCTGTTTGTTCCCCCCAAGCCGTCTCTTCTCCAGGTTGAAGGAACCCAGTTCCTTCAGCCTCTCCTCAAATGGCAAGTGCTCCAGTCCCCAAATAGCCTGGAGGCCCTTCGCTGAACTTGCTCCAGTTTTTTGATGTCTTTCTTGTGCTGGGGATCAAAACTGGACGTAGAAGTTAAATGTGGTCTAACACATGCTGAAAAATGAGACATAGTCCCTTCCCTTGCTCTACTGGCTGTGCGCCTGCTAACACATCCCAGTAGGCTGCTGGTCGTCCTTGCTGCCAAGGCAGACGGCTGGCCCATGTTCAGCTGCCCACTGGGCCCCAGGGCCATTCCTGCAGAGCTGCTCCCCAGCCTGGGCTGCTGCAGGGGTGCTTCCCTCCCAAGGGTCGCACTTTGCGTTTGTCCTTGCTGAATGTCATAAGGTGCCTGTTGGCCTGTTGCTCCAGCATGTCCAGGTTGCCCTGAATGGCAGCCTGATCCTCCAGAGTGTCTATTTGTTCCCTTAATTTGGTGTCATCTGCAAATTTGATGAGGGTGAACTCCATCCCCTCCTTCAGGTCACTGACAAAGACATTAAACAGGATGGGGCCCAGGAGAGACCCCTGTGGTACTCACTCCAGGTAGGGTATGACCCATTAACCACTACTCTCCGAGCCTCATCATCCAGTGTCTTTTTTACCCATCTGGTTGTCCACCCATCCAGACCATAATGTCCTAACTTGGTTTCAAGAATATTGTGCAACAGTGTCAAAAGCCTTGCTAAAGTCAAGGTAAATGACATTTTCTGCTCTCTCCTTTTCCACAAATGCACTCATTTTATCACAGTTGACTTTTTTTTTTTTAATTAGGAAAAAAATATAAAATCTTTTTTCCAAGGATGGTTCCATTAACTTTTTTTTTGCCACCATAAGGCTTTACAGTAACAGGAATAGTCTGCATCCTGTAAACAATAAATCAGGGTTTTGGTTTTATTATAAATGGTTTTGCAGTTATGTTAATTACTCACCTCGTCTTGATGAACTTACTTGAATAGGCACTAACTAACAGTTATGCACTACTTAATCCTGGAATCCTTAGCATTAACTTAAGTTGGGGGGTTCACCAAATGTCTGATAAAGTATCAGATGACTTGTCACTGTTGACTCAGGACTTTTACCTTTTAACACTTGGTGCCTGAACACAATGAAAACACAATATATTTAGCGAACCTCAGCACAGCAACTTTTCAGTTAGGTACCTGTAGGCTGCAAACTTGTAACATTATTACTTGAACAGCATTTAGTATAAACCATTTAAAAAAAATATTATGAAATAAAAGATACCTTTGTTTGCTGCAAACATTTTTCCAGGATTTAACTTTGCAAGTCAGATGTCTATGCAAATATGAATTTCACGCTTGCAGCCCATGGCTTCTTTAAGTTCTGTTAAACCTGCCTGGCATAACACAGAGCTTTGTTCCAATGCATCCAAGGATTTGCATTTAGGGCTTGAAATGGTTTTGGAACATTCCAAATGGTTTTGTTGGTTTTTTTTTCCTAAGAAGTATGAATCCCAATCTATGAATTTTTCCTATTCCTGGCTTCAACCTGTTATTCTCCCTTACTTTCTTGGCATTATACATAAAATATCACCATTGTATAATACTCCTGCAATCCTTCATTAACTGGAATCTTAAAAGTCACATTTCATTATTTCTCTCAGACAGACTGTTGCATAACATGAAGGATCAAGGTCAAATGATATATGAAGAGAGACTTTTGATTCATTCAGATGGTTGTCTTCAATTTCAATTCCTTTTTCACTGTCTTCCAAAAAATATGACAGATTCTGAACATTTTTCAAAATGGGTCTGTAGCATCCAGGTATATTCAGCTGTAATGGAGGCACTCTGAATTTGCACATCTGCAGCTCATCCTTAGAAAGCCTTTCATGGTACCATTGCCCAACTTTATTACTGGGATACTTGATACTGTGTCCCACCATTGGAAGAACCACCTTCAAAGAAAAAAACAGAACAACAAACATATTTGAAATAAAGCCCACAAAGTCCCCTTTAAATAAATGTGATTACCATTTTAAATGTGTCTAAATCTTGTGCTTTAGGACCTGAAATAGTAAAAAAGCAGCTTCTCTTGTGAAATAAAGCTGTGCAAGGCGGGTATCTTGGATGTAATTAAAGCAGAAAAATAATCAATGTATCAGGATTCCTAAAACAAACTAGAAATATACTAACATGAATTGCCTTGCTTGTTGGGAAAGATACAGCAATAAAGACATTAAGTTGCCTATGTAAGACCTCACAACTATGCACTCTGAACCTTCAAAAATTAGAACGTCAGCTGCTCTTGAATGTTTTTCCCAGTAGACTGAAAAAATTTTCGAAGTATTTACATTCAGCTTCAAGATAAATATTGCCATACTGCAAATGACACTGTACCATTACAAAGTAAATATTCTTTCCTCCTGTTTGTTATGAAAGTGGAGATTAGTTCACATGTGTTTTGTTTAATGTGCATTCGGGCAAGGAAAAGACTGCACCAGTTGATCACGTTATTTTCAAAACAAAACATTTTAATCAAATAAAGAGACCAACAACTCAGAATTTTTCATACAGACTTACTTGGTTTATAGAGTATTTGTTAGCTGACTCTTCTGCAGCAGTGACTACATGAACCTGACAAGACATTTAAGAATTAAAAAAAAAAAACTTTTTAAAAAATAAAACATACACTTTATTTTAGGAATTATATACTGTACTCCCAAACTTGTAAAGGATTCTAAGGTTATTTGACAACTACAAGGACAATAACCTATTTCAGATATGAAAAATAGTAGAGATGCTTAATATAAAGCAAACTGTTTACTGGTAAATGGTGTTGCATTAAGTATTTACTGATGCTAGCTACCACTAATTAGCAAACTATCACTACAAACTCATATTCTTTGAGTTTGAAGTTAACTGTACCAATGCAATCTGGTGCTATACCAGCAAAAGCAAAAATACTAAGAAAAATGTTTTATATTAAATAGGAATATAGATATGTTAAACTCAGTAACTCAATACTGAATTTGATACTTCTGCTTTTCATTTTATTTGATCTACTTGTTTTATTAACATTCACTCTAGAAAATATTGTTGAAGAAAAATCACAATGGAAACAGAAGCCACTCTACAGGGACTGGAGATTATTCAGTAACCTTCCAAGTGCTCTTGCTTTCAAATTTGTAAGATGCTCACTCAAAAGAAATTAGATACATTCTGCCTATGCACACACCTGTTTATTATCCAGTAAAACACTGCAAAATTTTATGCCTTATCGTCAGGAGATCAGGAGAAAGACAGAATCATAGAATCATTTAGGTTCAAAAAGAACTTCAAGATCATTGAATTTGATCTTGATTTGATCTGGATTTGATCAATCCAGCCGTAAACCTAACACTGCCAAGTCCACCACTAAACCATGTCCCTAAGCACCACGTCTACCCGTCTTTTAAATACCTCCAGAGATGGGGACTCAACCACTTCCCTGGGCAGCCTGTTCCAGTGCTTGACAACCCTTTCAGTGAAAAAATTTTTCCTAATATCCGATCTAAACCTCCCCTGGCGCAACTTGAGGCCATTTCCTCTTGTCCTATCACTTGCTACTTGGGAAAAGAGACCCGACCGCTTCCACAATAAGAAAAAGGTATGCTAACCCTGAAAGAAGAGGTGGCTTCAGAAGGGACTTCAGCAAGCCAAGACCTGGGACCAGCATACACTCCACTGCTGGCTTCTTCTCATTGACTCACCCATGGCTCCATGCACAGCACTCAGGCTGTGCTGTGGACGAGCAGAAGCACCCCCTTGCCCTTTACTACTTTCCCAAGAAGACTGCTGCATTTTTCAAACAGCTACTAAGAGTTTAGACCCACTGTCAATGTTTTAATTGCCTGAGTAAGTGAAATTGTCCTACACATGCTCTGTATGTGTAGCTGCAACAAGATTACCAGTTCAGTCTGAGGCCACCACCTTTCACCATGGGCTTACATTCATTAACATATATAATGGGAAAGTCTGATCTGGAGAGCAAGACTCAGATCTGCACTGACTGATAATATAGGCACACCCAGAGTCTACTCTGAAGGTTTTCCCCAGTCAGATCCTAAGAAGAGCATTATATGCCATGCAGGCTAAATTCTTACATATATCAATTTTGACATTCTGTTCCTTCTTCTCACTTGAATAAAATGAACAGTCAGAACAGATAAAAGCTGCTAATATACATCTAGCTTATACACCTATTCATGTTAAATCAGAAGAAACTACATCACTTTTTTCACCTTTGTCACTAATATTAAATATTTTAATGAATAAACCAAAATAAAAGCATTAGAGTATGTCCGAGTATGTATTCAAGTGCATTAAGCTTTTTTTTTTTTCTTTTACAAGGACTATTTTGTGAAGACTCACCTTGTCATTCAGGGAAACACTTTCATCATTTTCTTCTGAGAAGACAAGATCACCCTCAACAACTTTTGAACCGTAGATCTTCAGTCTATATGATGCTGCTTCATTCCAAATTTTACTGCAATAAGCATGGACATAGAATACGCGCATGGAATGAGGAATATTGAGCCATCCTTTGGTACAACCTTCATGATTTACACCGTAGCGATTTAAAGCTCGTAGCAACATCTTCTCTCTCACTTTAAATTCTGGCAGCATCACAAGTGCACCCTTTGCATCTTCTGATATAAAAAAAAAATAACCATATAAGTAATCCCTGATTTTTCAAATATTACCTGTCAGGAAAAAATACCCTTAAGAAGATGAAATAATCAGGTAGGGAAAAATGGTGTCAGTCTAACCTCTTTATGCTGACTTTTAGGTTATTATTCCCTTTCCTTCAATGCATCATGTTAGACAAATTTCATCTTAGATGCCTATCAACACAGTCCCATGAATTCTATTCTATTTCATGCAGTATAAACTAAACTAGCTGTCATTCAGCCTACTTTGCATTGTTTTTTTATTTTTAGAAACTTACTTCATCACTCCAAAGTTTTTCTTTAGATCAGGTAACTGAAAACCAAGCTCTAAAAGAACAATAAATCTCTACTTTACATCATTTGAGAACATGTATTTCATAGAGGGTAAAAAAAAGGTCTTTATTTTAAAGGTACAATTTGCACTGGCCACTGGGAAGCCTGAGCCTCAACCAAGAGGAAAATATATTTAATCAGATTTGTACTACATTATATTAATGTTGTATATTTAGAATTTTATGGTTTACATATTTTCTCATTACAAGTGATTATCTGCCGAAGCCTTTTGCATAGACTTTTACCCTTTGCTTTCTGGAATAGGCAAGCAGCTGTTTTCAGAGTCCACATCAATGTCTCTCCATGCATCATACAGCAATGTACAGCACAGAATGATTCATCGTATTTTTTTTGTGAAATGAAATGTATCTGTGTCTCTTGAAGCTATATATCATAGTTGTTCTGTCAATCTACAGTGATAAGCAGGCTAATAGATGTGGAATATTTGAAAAGAACAAATATATTTATTTGAAGTCGAGAGCAACTCCAAATTTTTAGTTTTGGAGAGAAAGCTAAGTTGAATGATAAATCAATAAATATGACAAACAGCGTGTTTTACTCAGCATACTTCTGCCTTTGACATACTTTGTTGATTTTAGTTCAAGACAGAAAGAAGGTAGATCACAGGAAAGCACGGAACAGATACATAATTAAAGAGATGTAAAAGCAAAGCCCAAAGGTACAAAAAACAAGAGCTAAGGTTGTTATAGAAATCTCAGAAAATTAGATGCTCACATGTGATAAGTGCTGAGTATGAGTTGGCTGTCTCATTCCTGTATACTTCCTTTATTAGGGAGAAGTTTATATTCCAAAAGCAGAAAGATGGAAGGAGGCTAAAACTGCTTTGATAAAATTATCTTAGTCTTTTCCAGCATTATGCTATACAGCATTCGTTTCTATACTGTCTTGCACCTGAAGTACATCAGTTTTCCACTATTTTACACATTCAGGGCCTCGTCCTCATCTAATTTTTAACTGTGCAAGTCTACTGAGTTCTGCAGAATAAGCTAGTAAGTGGTATAAAGCAGCAGCAAAATAAAAAGTATCTCTCTGTGCAGCATCACCTTATTCCCTCACAATATTGACGCTGAATAAATATAGAGACAATTTAACTGGACATACCAGTTTGAAGAAAGTATCTTTTTGCATTGTTTACAGGGTCATCAGTATCTTCGGGTGTGAAGAATAACTTCACAGCTTTCACCTTTAAAGAACAATATTAATAATTTATGATTTTTTGCATTTAAATATAACTATTTGTCAACTAAACAGACAGTCATGCATCCAATTCTGTGTTAACATATTCTGTAACCTCTCAAAATTATATCAGTTCTTTAAGGTCGAAGTCAAATTCTCCCTTTCATAGAAGATGTCATGAACAGCAAACCAATGTGGTTGTGTTCCTTCTCAGACTAAAGAAAGGTTTTAGTCACACAGAAGACACAAGACAGCTTTCAAAGCTCTACGAGAAACCAGTTGCTCTTATTGAACATCCATTTTGTAATGCCATCATTCTGTCTTCTTTCCCTTTTGCAAGTTTCATGCAGAATTTAGACTGAACACTTTCCACAGTTTCACACGGAGGGACAACAATCTTTCTTTTTTTTTTTATACTGATCGGTATTAGTTTAGATGACACTGTGACAGGGAAAACACTACACTAAACTCTGCTACTTGAAACACCACTGGAGCCACACAAGTTGCTAGCACTTATACAAACCTGTGACATCTGGTTCTTCTCCTCCTCTGTATTGGACTGTGCAAGCACATACTGGCACATTTCTAATACAAATAGTAGTTCCTACATGTTTTAAATTAAAAAGTAGCTGCGTTAAGACTAGCGACTTAAGTCATGACTCTTCAGGGACTGGCACCTGGTACCAACTGCTAGCATACTAGAATTCAAAATGTCGGATACATCAACAGTAATTTTTATGGGCTGCCCTCAAATTTTGATTCTTCTTGTATTTGGAGGATAAGTTTTCCTGACTTTTCTCAAGATCAAAACAAGATTAGACGAAAAGGATACTCAAGTATTCATTTGATTTTGTAGTGCCTGATTCTGTTTTAGACCTGTGCCAAGTACTATACCATATACATTGAAAAGTATATGATTCTTAGCTTATGAATTCTTACTTAAGAAATAAGCTCTCCTTAGCTTACATGGGAGCAATTGCTCAGAACTAAGAGTTTGGGAAAGTAGCCAAGGAATAATGGAAAGCAGCAATCTCTTCTATATAGCAGATGAATTACTGTGGTATTGAAAAAGCAAATCCTTTCATTTGATCCTATGTAATATCTTGTGACATTTTTAATAAGTATATAGACCCCCAGGAGGATAAAGAGGCTACAAGTTAGGAGGCAGTCAGGACCATGAATAAACATTGTATAAGGATTGCTTCATTTTAGTGTTCAAACCTTGTCTAGAATGCAGCCACTTCCCTGCCAAGTGACATGATGATGATCACAATCACATACCAATCATAGACAGAAGAATCACTTCCTGAACTATTTAAAGCTGCACCTGCTGTTCAAAAAAGATTTTTTGTTTCAGTATGAAGATCTTCATACTTATGTTGCTGTCAAAACTGATCTGGCAATTACTTCCAGCACATATATGGGTTTATCTCACAAATGAAATTCTGGGAAGGTCAATTCCAGTGCTATGGTAATTGCAATGGTAATGTGAAATTAACTTGACAGTAACTACTTAAGTTACAAAATGAAAATACCATTTTTTCATTCAGTAAAGCCAATCCTATTTGATCTGTCTGAATGTTTTGTCCTTGTCCAAATCGCTGAGGTCCGTAGTAATTTACAAAACCTTTTGTCTAGAATGATAAAGAATAAATATGTTAAAAGCATGAAAATACCAGCTACAATTAGTAAGACTAAGTGTACAACACACATACATCTACATTTACATCCAAAATGCATACAAACTGCTTCTTTAATCAGAAATAATATGTAACAAAATCACAGCTTATGATTCATTACAATATTTAGCACCTAATTTAGAAACATCTAAAAAGACAAGCAAGTTCTATCATTGTTTTCACTTTCATAAAAATAATAGGTAAATGAAACAAAATTATTTCTATATAGTTAATTATTATAAATACAACTACTGGTCAAGTCAAAGTAATCGAGCTTCTTAAATGCGCCAAATTATGAAATATCTACTCAAGCAAATGTGGCATAGCACAGGTAATGAACGGTAACCACTGTTGGACATTTTTTCTTAAAAATACTCATCTTTTTTCACATGAGATCATTTGTATCATTATTACAATAGTGAAGACCAAGAGCGAGCATTTCTGTTAATTGATTTTAAGTCTCCTAATGAGTTCTAAGACACACGTAGGCAGTAAAAGCACAGCCATGTGACCCAATGAGAACATCCTTTTCTAGAAAATAACAAGTAAGCAAGGAGTAGATAAGCAAAAAAACATACAGTATTTGTTTTGGAAATGGTTATTCGGTTCAAATTATATAACCTTGCTTTGGACATCCTTAGGTCCCATATGCAATTTTGTTTTCATGGAAGATGAAAAATCCGTATTTTGGATTAACATGTATGCTGTTTTTGTCATTCATCATCTGACCAGTAAGCTAAATCTAATAAAGCAAGACACACAATCACAGGAATTTGTGTTCATTTTCCAAACTGCAAAGCAAAAAACCAGTCAGATGAAGCAGAGAGAGAGAGAAAAGCATTAAAGTACCAGTTGAATGCTTTTTTCGATAATAAAATTAATTTCCAAAATACATGGAATGTATTTTGCTTTTGCACACTAGGTAGTTTTCATTCAAGTCTTTATTCCTGGATTAATCTTAAAGTAATTTGTATTATGGTTATTACTTAGAAAGATAGGGCAAGAAAATCACTGCTGTACAAAACACTGGAAGTTTTTCTTTTCCATGATTTTCTTTTACTTTTCTCAGTGATTTAAGAATGTCTGATGATGGGGTTTTCTTCAGGGACTAAGGATAACAGCAATCAAAATCCACTGAATTTCAGGGGGTCTTCTTTCTCTGCTATGGACATTTCACATGTATTTATGCCATGAAAGTATGCAGTTTTTCACCTGAGCCAACCATGCATGTTCCTCACATGACCAAAAAAGTCAACCAGTTGATACGTGTAACTATACTGTTTCAGGCTGTCAACTGCCACAGTGAAACGCATCACTTTGGTTGGCCTTAGATCTGTGCAGCAATAGCTCATATATCCATACTTATTTGCCACCCAATTTCCTATCTGTCTTGCTGCACCACTCTGGGGTCTGCAGTCTGTAACACAGAATGAATTCACTTATGGTCCCTTCTTGGAAGGCAGCTTTACTCCTGTGACTCCTTAAGTAATGCAGGAAAGACACAAAATAGCAGAAAGCATCAGAAGTGGGAAATAGTGCCATTATTGTGGTATTACAAGCATTTGCTTTAAAAGTACTTTTTTTTTTTTTTACAGCACAGAATTAAAACTCTGTTCCTTATTGGCAACCATGAGGCTTTTTTACCTCAACGTTTTCCATTGCTTCAGATATTCTCTCTTTCAAGTCTGCAGAAGAGTCATGACTGTGGTGTTTGAGATCTCTCACAACTATATCAAAGCGATTGCCCTTCAGCTGACCAAGCCTAAGGTGCTGGCATGCTGAATGGATGTTGTGTATTCTCATGCCCTTTTTTTCCATTTTGCTTCCAATTTCTTTCAACCTGCATAAATAACGGGGAGAAGTTATGAACCATCCTCTACTAAAGCTATCCAACTTCTAATAAATGTCTTCTTCACCTTTGCACTAGAATTAAAAACACTTAAAAAACCAAAAAGGGCCTTAAACCAGATTATTATGAGAAAACCAAATCAAATGCAGAGACAGAAGTTGTAAAACCTAGTTGTAGTCCAGAAATACTTTCTAAATGTTTGCTTCATTTGCACTTATATTCTGTAGCTCGACAGATATTGGAATGAAGCAATTCATTGAACTTTCTCAAGGCCACTGAACTGAAGTTTACATTTTTTATTGAAAAACAAGTAATTCACTCTTCAGGCCTAAAAATCTGCTTTTCATTAAAAAAAGAAAAGAAAAGAAAAGAAAAAGAAAAAGAAAAAGTAATGCGCTCTAGCAGACTCCAAAACACAATTGCTCTTTCTTGGTCAGCCTTAACAAAAACAAACTCAGCGCTCTGATTCTCTGGGTATGCTTGCACATGCTTGTAATTGGAAACACAGCTGACAGTTCAAGTATTTGCCCTTTAAAGTATCCACTCAGTCTCTTTGTTCTTCTATCTAAGTGACAGTCATTCAAATCAAAGGAAACTTTCAGCATAACAGCTTATATTCTAAGCAATATTTTAATAACCTTATAAATTACTTATTTATAAAAACTATTTATTTTCCCTGTTATGCTAGTGGCTTGGAAACATTTAACTATTTTGCTTAATCATTTAATCATTAATGCAAAGTTTTAGTAATTCTCTCTTGAACAACTGGCCCTACAGCCCAGTTTGCAGTGGAATTTTACTATTGATATACATCTTTGTAAGTAATAAATCCTAAAAACATAAGTTCTACTTTCCTTTATTTGCAAAGTGTACTTTTTTGCTAAGATCAAAAACCACTAGAAAGTTGAAGCTGAGGAAGCAATAAGTTATGGTTTTGACTCCAGCATTTTTACTGTTCCTATGGCAGAATTTTATATATAATTTTTTACCCACTGAGCTGGCTACAGAGTAACAAAAATGAGGAACGGAAAGGCACATCTTGCATTATTGACACATTATTCAGAATGTATTTTCTGCCCTCAGGTTTGGTGATACCTTCTCTACTTAGTCTCATGTTTCTAAACTGAACAGTAAAATAGAAGTTGATACTTAACACTCAAAGACAGCATCTGTCCAAAGTATATTTGTAATGTAATTCGTAATATTTTGGTTTTGTAGCCGTATAAAGCTTAAGTTGTTGTCTGTGAACCACAAGGCAATACTTTGATAGTGTGTGGAAACCTGTTGCGTCATGTGGTATAGGCTTCTTCTCAGTTCCAGCTAGTGGATGGTATTTAAGAAATTGTGAAGTGGATCCCATGAGCATGAATTGGAAGGATACTGTCCCAGGAGATACAGTATATTCGTATTATGAAAAATACAGAGAAAGGCGAGACTTTTCCTTAAATTTCAACACTGGGGGACTTCAGCACTAAGCTGTATATTCCCTAAAGCCACAAAATATTAAAGCCACTTCCACTGTGCTCTAATACAGGAGAAGGGAAAACACATCAATAAGAACATTTCAGAAGACTGTATCACGTTGATACTTATTAACATATACAAATATGTGCTAAACTGAATGCACCCAGGTTGTTAGTACCTCTCAGGAGTCACCTTCTTCACAACCATAGGTTGGTAAGTAATAGCCTTCTTATCTTTGATGCCAGCGTAACTGAAGTCTGAAGGAAGAACACCAAGCTCAGCAGCCAAGAAGCCGATTGCTTCCAGTGTTTCTAGATTTTCTTTCTGAAGGGTGAAAGCTGAAACAATCATCTCAGAATTATTAGGAATTTGCACTTCTAAATCATAAAGGTGTTCTACCATGACAGATGGGCAGGTTCTTCCCTTCAAACTATAACAGCATTGGAAACTGCAAAGAAACAGTCCTCCCACCCCACAAAACCAAAGGAAATGAGACTTTTTTCAGTATTGAAAGAGAAAAATAAAGACACAGTAAAAACTCTTGGAACAACCAGAAACCCCTGGTGCCTTTAAAAAATTGTACCTGATAAAATGCAACACAATTCAATGAACACATATTGACTTATGGCTAGAAATGTTCTCTATATCAGAAACCAACTGTTTTAAGGAATGAGATCATAAATCAAATTTGACCTTAGTAACTTGTCCAACACCTAGATGCATCTTCTAAAATCCCCCAATTACTTTCAAGGAAAGCTAGCACACAGGGAATAACACAGAGTTAGTGCTACAACCAAAAGAACTGTAACAATTATCACTGAACAGTTTATGTAAAATCATTGCAGTAACTTGATTCATCCATCTCATTCTCCAGTGATGTAACTACACTGCATTCATAATGATTTATTTCAGTATAAACAATGGGTCAAGGCAGGCCTATATATCATATAAAAATTATTCCGAGTCTGAGACTTACTAAAGAACACTGTAATACCTGACACTTTCACTAAAAATGTAATATTTACCTGTATAAAGATCTTGTTTTTCCTGGAAACCACCAGCAGACCTTTTTCTGGACCAACTTTTTTCTCGAAATCGTACCATTATTGACATATTTGGCTGATCATTGACATCTGTCACAGTAAAAGACTTTGTTTCTAGAAGTTTTCCAAATTTTCTATTGATAAAGTGGTGGACTACTTTTCTGTGCTCTTTGTTTCCATCGGGCTCAAAAGAAAATGTAGAATTTTCTAGCTTTGCATCTAAAAATTTAAAGAAATCACTTGTTTCCTTTTCAGTCACTAACTGACAAAGTTCTCTGTAATCAGCATTTCCTTTTACAATCATTTCATTGTCTTTTGTAAGAGTGACTAGAAAGGGGAATTTCTGCCTAACAGCACTGTGTAAATCAGCTCGATTTTTCTTGTCTAATATAGGTCCCAGTGAGAACTCCCTAGTGCCAGCATCGGCATTATTTTCCAAGTCCCATGCATTCTTCAGATCACAAGCAAACTTATTAAGCAGTTCACTCATGGGCTTGCCTAGTAAGGAATCCAATACACCAGATTTCAGTTCAGGTTCACCCTCATGTGGGTTTTTGTTAGGGGATGCAGAACAGTCACCTCCTGCCCGGCTTGGGTCATGCTCCGAAGGACTGGGCGTACCACCACAACAGCCCTCAGCACATGGACCGGGAGATTCCCTTCTCAGCTTTTTGGCTTGCTGCAGGCCTGGGCTATTTTGTTCTAGCGGTGCTTCACTGGTTTTCTGAAGTGATTCAGCCCGGGTATCCCTAAGTAAGTGTTCAGGCATCTCGATTTCCGTCACTACAAAGTCACTCGGTGAGTTTTTGATAGTACCACAGAAGCCAGTGTGATCAGTCACGTAGCTGAAGGCCCGAAGCATGGCTCCCCTGCTTCCCCGGCTCCCCGCCAGAAACCACGACACCTGCAAGAGGAGAAAACCAAAACAGGGGGTGGGGAGAAGAAAAAACATCAACTGCTAAAGAAAAGGCTGCTGAAAGGCAGGCATGGAGGGAGGGAGAGCCGCCGGCTCCACGCCGGTCCCGAGC